TATTCCTACAAAATGAGGAACGCCCCAAACGTCTAAAGTTCAACTCTTGGCGAAGCAAGCCCATGCAATATCAGGGCCCCGTTTGCCATCAATGGACTGCATCATGATTCCCAGGTTACTCCAAGAAGTTTGATATTTCAAAGAGTTTGAGGGAAACTAGCCCTAAATCCTAAACCCTAAACCCTAAACCCTAAACCCTAAACCCCAAACCCTACACCCCCAGGGCCATCTTGGGTTTAAAGCCTAAACCCTGAACCCTAAACCTTAAACCCTAAACCCCAAACCCCGAGTGATAAGCCGCATATGCAGGTTCCCAATCCCGGCGTGGATGTTTCCGGGGTAGCCATGAGGGTTAACGGCGACAACTTGAGGTAAGTATAGGGACCTAGTAATTAAAGTAGTTACACAAAACGAAAAGGGCACAATAATTAGTTCCCGGAAGCATAGGGATTAGGCTCGTAAGGCCCTCGGCCAAAACCTGTGGGTTTGGGGGTTTAGCGTTAAGTTTTCGGCCTTTGAGGCGCTGTATACGTATGAAATTTCTGTATATATGTATATATATACATATACATAACATATGAGCGTAGAAATGTGCCGATAGTAACCCTTCACGATGATACACAAATCTGGTACAAACGACCCCACACGAACATTATAAGCAAATAGGCCCCAACATTATCTAACCTAACTTTAATACTTCTCCCTTGCAAAGGGTGTACGTACAGTTTGCTCTGGGTAAGGTTTCGGGTTCGGGGTTTAGACCTCCTGGCACACTAGGATTGCAAAGTCCAGCCGACGTCTTTCCACGAACGACGTGCGTTAACCAAGCTTTCAGACAATCATGCCTCAGACATGACACAATGTGCGGATCTCTTGGCTCCCGTGATCCAGGTTTAGGGCGGGGGTGTTTTCCGTAAAGCCCGAAACCCTAAACCCTAAACCCCTGCCCTACTGTAAATCTCTGACGCTCACAAAGGTTGTGGGGGCGGCAGCTTCTCAGGGGGCCGGGAGCCACGGTGCAAAACGTGCACTGATGCCAAGCTTCCAGCTGTCATGGTCGCGCAACGTCAGGTGAATTGCAGCTTTTGCTTCCCTTAAGGGTTCCTGTAGCTAACTAGGGTTTAGATTTTATAGGGTTTCGGGTTTAGAGGTCCCAAAATAGGGGTCGGATGAGAGGACTGCAATTCACCTGTGTTTTTTGTTATTTTGTTGATGCTGACGCTTTGCACGACTCGCTCGCAGCAGACACTGCCATATTCAGACTGGACAGTCTCATAAGGGTTCGTGGTTTATAGCCGCGGTTTAGATGTAACACTCAAACAGAAGAAGGCCATTCATAACAACGCTTCCCGGTTTGCAAGTCCCTGCTGAGAAGGGGAAACATGGGCCACTCATGGGACACATCTACAGCATGATCTACAGGACACTTACTATGCTGGCTTTTGTAACTCAAAGGAGGTGGCTTAGTATGCCCCCCCCCCCAAAAAAAAAAAAATAACACGCATATAATTTCATAGCTCGGTAACCCTAAACCTTAACCCCTTTCAAGAGCCCATATCCCTACTTCCAAGCCAATCGCCTGAAGCCTTGATCCCTCGTACCCTCGAAGCCCATACCCTGGTTTCGCGCCCTCATGGCGATTCTCGGTTAGGTTTTAGGGTTTAGGGTTTCAGGGTTTAAAGGTTTAGGGTTTAAGGTTTAGGGTTAAGTGGGTATAGAGTATGGCACCTACCTTCCTCCTCGAAAGCCACGGCTATGTTCTCATTCCAATATGATCACCTTTCTTGGGCTCCTACCCTAAACGCTGAACCCTGAACCCTAAACCCTAAACCCTGAACCCTAAACCCTAAACCCGTAAGGAACTGAACAACTGAAGTGAGCAGACATGGCTTCAGATGTGGTTCAGGGGTATATAGTTGCTTTGGCGCTAAACCCTCAACCCGAAACTCTAACCCTAAACCCTAGTCCTAAACCCTAAGGTTCCACCGAATTACAAAGTTGCAAGAGTCTCCGGTCTCAAGCTCCCTTTGCTTGGAGGTTCCTTGCACTCATGAACCAAGTAGAACTGTATTTCATACCCCACTTATAAGCCCCTTAAGTACCCTAATACGGAAAAAAAGTACAGATATAAGTGCAGTCATAACTGGTTCATCAGTCTCCAGCTCCCTAAACCCTAAACCCTAAACCCTAAACCCTAAACCCTAAACCCCCCTGGAGTCGGCAAGGCGTTAGGTTGCCGGGCTCCGCATCGTTGGCGGGCCCAGCATTGAAACGGCTACTTCACTTTGCCGTGTGGTGCAGCCTTTCTGCACATACCCTAAGGCTCCAAGAAGAGGGTTTAGGGTTTAGGGGTTAGGGGTTACGGGTTAGGGTTAGGCTACAAATGATACCTACAGTGGGGTCTACAGTCTGTACAAAAAAAAAACACCTCCTGTGGGCTATTTGGAGCCTTAGGGATTGCGTCGAATTCACTTGTCAATGCTCCCGTTGCAATGAACCATCAACAGAGCTGCCCACCAGTGGAGATCCCGAAACTAAGGGATGGAAGATTCTAATGGTTCGAGATTCTCTCTCCGAGATAGTTCAACCCTTACATAATCCTAAAACTTATAAACCCTAAATCCCCGAACCCTAAATCCTAAACCCCAAACCCTAAACCCTAAACCCTAAACCCTAAACTGGCCCTAAACCCTAAACCCTAAACCCTAAACCCCGCACATCCTCAATCTTGGGCCCGAACCCAGACCAGGTCTCAGACCAGGCACCCCACATGGAGTGCCCCCAGGTTCAGAAGGCCGAGTTGGCTTTTCAGGTATTCCCAAGACAAAACTTGGGTTTAGGGTTTAGGGTTTAGGGTTCAGGGTTTGGGGTTTAGGGTTTAGGGTTTAGGGTTTGGGGTTGAGGGTTTAGGGTTTAGAGTTCAGGGTTTAGAGTTCAGGGGTGTACGGTTTAGAGCTCACCTCCTGCTCTGGCTTGAAACCCTAAACCCTAAACCCTAAACCCTAAACCCGAAACCCCAGAGGGTTCAGGAGTCTTTATGAGGGGTTGGCGAGGGCCTCTCAAACCCTAACCCTCAACCCTAAGTCCTAAACCCTAAGCCCTACACCCTAAACCCTGAACCCTGAACCCTAAAGTTGCTATTGTGTAGGCCTCTTGTGGTGTCTAAACGACTACTCCATGATTCCATGCGCATGTCCCGCATTGCCTGCGGGACCGCTTCGGGTTTAGGGGCTATAACAGGGTGTGTAGGGCTTAATTAGGGTTTTGGGTTTAGGGTGTTTAGTGCACCCATACTAGCAAGTGGCATCCCATGCGTCTTTGTTCGGTCTAGGGTAAGATCTGCAGCAAAAGTCGCCCTCAACTGGGTTGTTCGGGAACTTAGACTGTTTGACCAGAATGGAGAGTTGTATACTGGGATGTTCCCACCTTATACTAACAGTCCTTAATACGGATGAGAAAAAAAGGGGTACTAGAATCCCTATCAAGGACTGGTAGTACAAGGCGGAACATCCCAAGTTGTATAGCAAACAAAGTAGTATCCTTCATGCATCGGGCTTTAAGAACCCTAAGCCCCGAGCCTGAGGTGCTAAGAACACTAGATGCAGCTTTCCGGGCTATTTCGAGCCTGAGAGCACACCTAAACCCTAAACTCTAAACCCTAAACCCTAAACCCTAAACCCTAAACCCTGAACCCGAAACCCTAAACCCTAAACCCCAATCCCTATAGCGAGGTCCTTGAAGGGGCCCTTAGTCGGGTCAGCGCCACACTTTACGCCACTGCTCCGAACCCCAAGAACCCTACCGTCGTATCCCACCAAGCACTGAAATCATGAAGAACCCCCCCACCCTTGCTTCCACCCCTTAACTTTTTGGCCCAGTAACTATGATAAGGGCGCTGTATAAGGGAACCTTGGACCAAAACAGGGAAAAGGGTACCACTGGGCTACCAAGTAACACTCATGTGCCCAAGTCCTGAGCCTAGACGTTCATCCGGTTCAGCGTTGAGCTCAAGCGCTAATCCCTACCCAACAGCTGATGATGGCTGGCAGACAGGAGCACTCTTACTTGAAGGTTCACGGGCCGCTATAGGTAGGACTACCTAGAGTTTATAGGGTAGGAGTACCTGTCGTGTTCATAGGGTTCAATGATAACTACCCCACCTGAACTGCGAACTCTACAACCCGTGAGCCTTCAAGCAGATGACAGGGGGAACGAGGTGCAATCCAGTTTTAAAAACTCGGTATCAGGCCCCCGGAGTCCCCTTGGTCTGCATCTGCAGACCCTGAGGCTGGGTTTGCCTTTGCCGACACAGCATCGTGGCTCCTTAGGAGCCAAGCAGCTGCAAGCAGCCAGCCCTTTCTGTCGCAGGCACCCACTATCAGCCAAGGGCTTAGGGTTGAGGGTTTTAAGAGCACAGGGTTTAGGGTTTAGGGTTTAGGGCTCGGGAAGCTAGGTTTCGCCCATCAGCTGGGCATCGGTAGCTCAAAACTCGCAACGGCGCCAAGAACGATCCTCTGTTCTTACCAGAGCTCCATTCGACTCGGCTATGTGAGCTGAAGCTCAACGCAAACCTACACTAGGTGGCCCAGTCACCAAGAAGGGGCGCCCTTTGCAAAGGCATTTCTAACCCGGACATTCTAGAGAGTACACGGCTCGGCGCCACGGTGAAACGAGGGCGTATGGTCTAGTGCGAGTTGTTAAGAGCAACTTCATCGATGAGCCCTAAACCCTAAACCCTAAAGATGTGAAATTGCAGAGCCTTGCTTTACTCCTGAAAGCCCTGACATCCGAATTTGGTGCCCCAAATCCCTGAAGAGCTTGAAGGCTTGAACCCCCCCTAAATCCCAAAGAGGGTTTAGGAGGTTAGGGGCTTGTTGGGAGAACATCGCCTGACTAGGGTACCAGCACTTCACAAGAGGTGCTTGATGATGTACATCGGATTGATCTTCAGTGTCGCGGAGCTCCGGTGCGCATGCGACTCAGAGGCAGCGCGGTGTCCTTCAAGAGGCCGTCCTCTGTGACAGGAAAACTCCTCAAAATCTCCATGATGATGGTATGTAATGGTCTGCTTGACTTGTGGAGAAAAAACAAAAGCACCACACAAAGTATATTGCTTTAGTCAGCTGGAACTTGCGATCTCATGATATGTAGAATCCAAGGCCTAATTAAAGCCCCAATGGCCGGCCTGAACAATCTCCCAGGCCGAACGCTTCGGGTTTAGGGTTTAGGGTTTAGGGTTTAGGGTTTAGGGTTTAGGGTTTAGGGTTTAGGGTTTAGGGTTTAGGGTTTAGGGATGTACTCAGGGGCCTGAGACCCCAGCACAGAATTGGTTGCAACCCTCAACCCTCAACCCTCAACCCTCAACCCTAAAGCCCAATAACCCCACCCTAAGGATCCATGTACCCATATGTACCCATATGGTATACAGTGGGCCCTAAAGCTACTATCAGGGAAACCTTACACCCCGAACCTAAACTCTAAACCCTCAATCCTGAAGGCCTACGACCCTAAACCCTAAACCCTAAACCCTAAGCCCTAAACCCTAAACCCTAAACCCTAAACCCTAAACCCTAAACCCTATAAACCCTAAACCCTAAACCCTATAAACCCTAAACCCTAAACCCTAAACCCTAAACCCGAAGGCAGTCCCCTTGGCTCGTGTCTGCAGACCCCTTGCTGCATTCAAACCAAGAGGCGCAGCGCCATCCACATGCCTAGCAGCCCGTTTAGGGTTTAGGGTTTAGGGTTTTAGGGTTTAGGGTTTAGGGTTTAGGGTTTAGGGTTTAGGGTTTAGGGTTTAGCTATTTACTAACCTAAGAGGGCAGATCTATTTTTTCATGGCCTGCTGCGAGGCATGGCTTCATGGGCAGTAGAAACGGCAAGTGTCATCCTGGACCAGCCTAGTAGCACCAACAGAAAAGCCCTGCACTGAAGAAAACGAAGACACACCTTCTCCTAGAGCCAGGGAACGAACATGGCGATTTTCCAAAACCTTGAAATCTTAACCCTAACACCCAAAATCCTAAACCCAAAAGACATACCTTTCAAAGTTCAAGTCCCTGCAGTTCTGAGCACGTAAACCCTGACCCCATAATTTCCAGGGGCCTTAAACTTGCAACAAGAAGGTTCCAGTGACCTAACTATTCGAGTCCAGGGTTAAGGGCTTAACATCCCAAAACCTAGACCCTTTAAACCCTAAACCCTAAACCTTAAACCTCAAACCTCAAACCTAAACCCTAAACCCTAAACCCTAAACCCTAAACCCTAAAACCTAAACCCTAAACCCTAAACCCTAAACCCTAAACCCTAAACCCTAAACCCGAAGCTCGCATGCTCAAGGAGGCGCCCGCAACGGAAGATCTTCTGTGTGGGGCTCAGCGGGTAGCCTTGCAAAGCATGCTACTCCAGTGAGCCATCGTCGGAAATCATGGGATTTAGGGTTTAGGGCTAGGGTTTAGGGTTTAGGGTTTAGGGCTTAGGGTTTAGGGTTTAAGGTTTAGGGTTTGGGGTTTGGGGTTTGGGGTTTGGGGTTTGGGGTTTGGGGTTTGGGGTTTAGGGTTCAGGGTTTAGGGTTTAGGGATTGGGGTTTAGGGTTTAGGGCGTTTTCTGTGGAAGCCTGGAGAAGTCACTCTAGGAGCTAGCTGCCTAAAGAACTTGAAGCCAGATGCCCTACAAGCCCTAAACCCTAAACCCTAAACCCTCAACCCTAAACCCCACTAAGCACTCAACCAAGATCTAAGTTCTCTAGGGTTCCCAGTATGGGCCCGTAGTTGGGGTCCCTTGTTTAAAACCCTTAGGAACACTACACATCAAAAGCGCCCATACTTCAGATCCCTATAAACAAGGGTAAGGGACCATACTAAGGGCCCAACCAAAATCCAAGTTCGCAGCACCGTGACGAAACCACATGTCCGGATTGCTTGGAAGGCCTGTGCTCGCTTTTTTGGGGCTTATGAACTCAGCAACTTAGACTAAGTTGCTGAGTTCATAAGACCCCCAAAAAGTGTACACTTTCAGTTCTATAGGGGATTCTAGTTTCCCAAAAAAAGTGTAAAATGTACTCACTCAGCTACGAGGTCGTCTAGGCAGCTTAGATCAGGGGTTTCCCAACTTCGTCCGCGCACTTCGTAAGCGGCCAGAATCCCCAACCTCATAGGGGTTTAAGCCTTTGGGTGGCTTAGGGTTTAGGGCTCCAAGGGCCCCGACCCCTATACCCTACACCCCGATGATGAAGGGAAACCCTAGGTTTGACAATTTGAGCTCTTTACAAGGGAGGCGAACAAGAAGAGAAACAAACCGGGAAACGTTAAACTCTGAACCCCCCTCCCCCGTTTAGGGTTGAGGGTTTCGGGCTGCTGGGTTGGCATATTATTCCAACCAGCCAAACTCCAATCTCCTCTATACCCTACACAACCCTAAACCCTAAACCCCAATCCCTCAACCCTAAACCCTAAACCCTAAACCCTAAACCCTAAACCCTCTCCGCACATGTACCCTCCACATTTGCCGCCAAGAGACGCACGAAAGCGGCTGCCGCCCCTCCGAGCAACGGTCCCAGGAACCTCGAGAAAGGAAGGCACCAAAGTTTAGGGTTTAGGGTTTGGGGTTTAGGGTTTAGGATTTTGGGTTTAGGGTTACCATTGCAGGGCTAACACACCCCACCACTGTTGGCGTGAACTGAGGCTCTGGACCTTGTGCAGGGTTTGGGGTTTCATTAGGGCGGTTCCACCCCTAAACCCTAAACCCTAATCCCTCAAAGCACCGATCGAAAGCAAACTTCGCCGAAATCAGCTGGAGAGGCCCAGCCTGGAAATGCGTTGGGGTATTTCCCTGAGGGTCCATGCACCTTACTATTCTATACTGTTATATAATTACTTGGGTCCCAAAGTCCTTATATAGAAGGTACTTTAAGGGCCAAGTATACCCTGTTTAGGTACATGGACCCTTAGAGTATTTTGGGCAATGTGACAAAGCGCCTGCAGCTGTAGAACTAACACTGCCGTGGATTAGGAATCAGTGTCCTGAAAGATAACCTCATCGACAACCGTCGGTTTCCTACCTCTGGAGTAGACCCAGAAAAAATGTATATACTTTTTAGGTATAAGTAGCTATAATGGGAACCCAAAACCAAAAAAAAACATTAAAGTATAGTACTCCAAAGCCCAGGTTTAATCCCTTCTCCGCGGGACATCATCCACAAAGCGTCCATGGCTCCGCTGGTGTAGTTCTCGCAGCCTCTCCAGATTAAAGCATCTCAGTGTACCCTAAACCCTAAACCCTGAACCCTGAACCCTAAACCCTGAACCCTAAACCCTAAACCCTAAACCCTAAACCCTATATAAACCCTAAACCCTAAACCCTAAACCCTAAACCCTAAACCCTAAACCCTAAACCCTAAACCCTAAACCCTAAACCCTAAACCCTAAACCCTAACCCTAAACCCTAAACCCTACAACCTAAACCCAAACACCGAGACACTTTTTAGGCATGAGCACCACTACAGTCTTTGCGGGTGAGCAGAACTTGTGTTTGGGGTTTAGGTTCAGGGGTTTGTGTTCATGTGGCGGTGCTGGTGGTGGCGGCAACAGATGTAGCAGAGTACTGCCAGCCTGCCCTCAATCAAAACCACCACCCAGAAGAAAGAAGAAACGCCACGCCCTCCCAAAACCCCAAGATCGCACACCACAAACATCCCTGAACCTTCAAAATCCACAGGCTGCGTGCCCTGAGCTTCAATCCCACCACCACCACCACCCCTAAATCCAACCCTCAACCTGGGATTACTTGGAAGCCCTGTTGACTTAGCAAGTAGGGTTAGTAAGGTGGGGCATGGAGCTTGCAAGTAGGGTTTAGCGCTTGGGGGTTTAGGGTTTAGTTTTTTCGGGGTTCGGGGGTTAAAAACCACGGAATAGCTGCATTGTTGGTATGCGGCCTCGTCCTCTGGTCTGAAACAAACTCTAAAACCCAAAAACAAACAACTAAAGCCCTACAACCCTTAATCCTAAACCCTAAACCTCAAACCCTCAACCCCAATTCCTAAACCTCAGGACATGAGGGAATACCCTAACACCCTATACCTTCCCTAAAACCCTGAACCTAAAACCCAAAAACCCTAAAACCCTAAAACTCTAAAACCCTAAAACTCTAAAACCGAAAAATCCTAAAACCATAAAACCCTATAACACCCCCCTTTCGTGGGAACCTCGAAAGGCGGAGACCACTGCAGGGCCAAGCGAACGGGTTGGGTTGATAGAGCAGCCGTCCACCTAAGGTTCAGGGGTCTAGGGTTCAGGGTTTAGGGCTAGGGTTTAGGGTTTAAGGTTTGGGGTTAGGGTTGAGGACTTGGGCTTTAGGTTTTTTGGGGTTTAGGGTTTCAGGCTTCAGGGCTTACGGTGTTTGTTAAGGGCGTTTGGATGTCAGGATGAAGGCTTCTTAGGGTTTAGGGTTTAGGGTTTAGCGTTTGGGGTTTGGGGGTTGGGGTTTGGGGGTTAGGTTTAGGGTTTAGAGAGTGAGTGATCACCTAAAAACCAAAATCCTAAGCTTGACTTGCGATTTCCGCTTCTTCCCGGGTCGATCCAGGCCCCCTTTCAACCTTGCAAGGGACTTCGGGTCGGGTTTGTGGGGCATGGATGTCGGGTTCAGTGTGTAGGGCTTGAACCCTAAACCCGAAACCCTAAACCCTGAACCCTAAACCCTAGTAAGCCCTAAACAGGGGTAGGGCTTTCGGGCCCCTTCAGCCGCGAGTCCGGCAGCAGCAAGCACACCGAAATGCACACTGCCGCGCCAATCCTGAAGCAACGGGATCAACTACTTAGAAGCTCGTGTTGACTTAGTACACCCTAGCAGGGTTGTAATTCCCCATGACCCACTTACGTCAAAAGGGCTTCCAAGTAGGGTTTAGGGTTTCCAGGCTGTGGGGTTTCAGGGGTCTTCGAGTGGCCTGAATCGACAGGACCCACGAGGTTTAGGGGATTTCGGGTTGTTAGGACTTTGGGATCTTCTGACCTAATGTTCATACGCAACAAGAAGACTACTAGGAAGCTTTTAAGACCTAGTTGCTGAGTACTAGTACCCTGGGCCGAAAAAAGTTAACCTTTCAACTGTGGTAGAATTATTATATTATTATATATATATACCCTAAACCCTGAACCCTAAAGCCTAAACCCTAAACCCTAAACCCCAAAAGGTTAATTTTAAGGGTTACCTACTCGGCTACTAAGAAGACATGTAGGGATTAGGGCTTGGGTGCTGTATAAGGTTTTCGGGTCCAGAGCTTGTCTGGCTTACGTGGCTGAAGGACACCCTGCACCCTAAACCCTAAACCCTAAACCCTAAACCCTAACCCTAAACCCTAAACCCACTTCATCTGATTGTCGCTTAAGCTCGAGTTGAAGCCTCGGGTCCTGTTCGCGGGGTGGGCGCAGCTCTACCCCCGAGCACGCTATATACCAAGATGGGCTATTAGGCCCTAAACCCTAAACCCTAAACCCTGAACCCTAAACCCTAAACCCTAAACCCTATAAAGGGCCTTTTTAAGGGGTGATAGGGTAGAATAGCCCGTCCTGGTACTACAGGGGCCTAAACAGCCTCCTAGAGCCGAAGCACGAAACACACGACCCTTTCTAGCAGAGGGGCCTTGATAAATCGAATAGGGCTTTGGGGAGTTATTGTAGCAGTTGTGAATATAGAGTGGCCATAAGGGAATATTATTCGTAGTTATAGTTCTCTCTTCCGACCCCTCTAGGAATTCTACATGGGGCGTTGTCTGATCCAGGGTTTGTTTCCGTTGTTCCCTGGGTACGCGTCCCCTGGGTTTCGGTCGCTGTTCTAGGCGTTCATTCTAGGGTCCTTCAGGGAGGGGGGTTCATTGGGGGGGGGTAGGCACAATCCTTGAGGAAGCTTAGGGAGTATGAAGGAACCTTGGGATACGGTTCCCAGCAGTTTCTGAGTGACGCTTTTGTGACTTTTGTGGGCGCTGTTTCCATTAGGTCCCGCTGGTGTCCACTAATAGGATGGCCCTTGAATTGAAGCCCTCTGAAAAATATTTCTGAATATGATCCTCGTGAACCAACCGTAAACCCTAAGCCCCAAACCCTAAACCCTAAAAACCCATGAAGGGAACATATTAGAAGTTCCCAAAGGCGTATCAAGATCACGTGCTTTTCTCAACATCCTACTTGGAGGTTCCGGGGTACAGGAACCCAGTTATAGCTGTACTTATAACCTAACAATAACCCTCTTCGGGTACTTCATCAGCTGACCACCAAAGGTGGGTCCCTAAGCCCTAACCCCTGAACCCTAAACCCTAAACTCGAAACCCTATAAACCCTAGCCCTAAACCCAAACCCTACAACCCTTCAATTGCGGAGAAGCTTCGCAATGCAGGCATTCTTACCGCAGGACGCGATGGGGTTCACAGCCTTGGTCTGTCGACTCTTGAAAAGTATGTCGGGTTTCGGGTTGGAGTTAGTTTGGGGTTCAGGGTTTGGGGTTTAGGGTTCAGGGTTTGGGGCTCAGGGTTTGGGGTTCTTTCCAAGAAAAAACATATCCCAAGGTCCTATATGCCAAGCAGCTGTTTCCCAGACCGTGAAGCAGAGCATGAAAGTGCCCATGGCTTCCTGAAATGTCAGGCTGCTGACGCTTAGGGTTTAGGGTTTAAGGTTTAGGTTTTCCTACCAGTTGCCCTTTCAACGCAATAACATCCCAGTGGGCTAGTATGAGGGTGTTCCATTCTCAATCTCAAAACGCATGGCTTTTTGGAACGCCGAAAACTAACTTGTTGAGCCAGGGTTGGTGTACATACACACACACACACACACCCATACCCCTCACAACAGCGAGCCTTGTGACCAAGAACAGAAACTTGGCACTTTAGAATTACCGAAGGTCCTTCTTCTTGGAGATTCAGCCCCGTAGTTCGGCTTTAGCCACGTATATGCGCAAAACAGGCATCGAAGGTGTGCTGGCACACACTCGTGCGCGCGCGCATACCACATCCGATTCTTTAGGCAGCTGGTCTGCGTAACGTGAGGCTTGCCGACGCAGCATTTGTGCCGGCCAAAATTTGGGCAATCACTAAGTCAACCTAAGCATCCAAAATCCTTCAGCTCGATAAGTTAGGTTACTCGATTGAAGTGACTCAAGTGGTCACAGGGTATGGAGCCTAGCGAGCTTCTATCCCCTAGGGTAGTACGGGTAGTCGTGCGCAGGGTCCCAAGGTCTAACTACCTGGATGAACTATTCTGAAACATTACTCAGAGCCGTGATGTGTCTCGTTCGAGTGATCAAGGGCCAGTTGAAGCTCATCTGGTCTAATTTCCGCAAATGAACCAATGCGGTCAAGCATTCTTGCGTGGGTTTGGAGGAACCACCGCGGGAACATGGTTTGCTTCATGCTTTGTTCATTCTGAACTTCGACAGCTTTACAGCAACACTGTGTATTTCTCGGCCAGGTCCATGCGGCGTGCTCACAAGCCAAAATGTGTTCGTCCTTCTTGGTATCTGCATGAAGTGTTGGATAGCTCGTCGCTGCAACAGGAGGAGCGGCACGGGGGTCAGTACCCTGAGTATCCGTTATCGCTTCCAATCAATATCTTGATGTTAACGGGTTCAACCAATCAATACAAAGTGTTTCCCCGAGTAAAAAAAAACATATACAGCTCAGCTAACACATCTCCCACCAGGTGAAGGCCCTCCTACCCAACAGAGAGAACACGCAAATCCATAAGTACAGATATATATATATATATATTTTTTTTTTTTAATACCTATCTCTCCGATGCCAATCGGTATATACAAAAATGGATATAGTAACCATCATTTGAATGCAAACTTACATGTCTCAACTCTTCATAACACTAAAGCCCATATGGTCATCGATCTGTGGAACAGGAACAAGATGCATTGGACACTTTTGACCGAGTTGGCGCCCTAAAACTCATAAAGCCAAACCCGGACTATCTCATGAAGGCCTGGAGAAGTCAAACAGCTGAGTTTGTTGGTTAACTAACAAGGTGATGTTGAACTTGGCAAGCCAGTACAATCAACGCCGAAACCTGGAAATCTGAGTCCACGAGCATTACCCGACACGAGGGGCTCTTCCGAGGGGGGAGGGAGGGGGGGGGGGGGTGTCACGAACAACGGATTCTTATGGCTCCACACAATTCTAGCAAGCGCAAGCTGGCAATATCTTCCACCAAACCCAATGGGGACAAGTAGCATGCTAGCAGCTTTCCTCCCTCAACTCCCCGCTGCCTATATATCAGCTACATCACCTGCAATCCTGAAAATCCTGCCTCAACCTCGGGCTGCGTAACCAGTTGTACTTAAGGCTGACAGGACCCTACTTGCTACCCAAGCCACGCCGAAGACAACTTGGCTGTTTGAGAAACCTGCGCAAGCAGCAGTGGAAAGACTTAGGCTGTGGGTTACCTTAGGCCCTCAAGTATACAAAAAACACCTACATTGGGATGTAAAGTCAGTACAGAATGCCTACTAGGAAGCTTGTTCTCTGGGAAGGATGGCCGTCGTTTTGTCTACCAAACCCTAAACCCTAAACCCTAAACCCTAAACCCTAAACCCTAAACCGAGGCTTTCGGCTTTGTCTCCTGCGTGTCTTCGTACCCTAGGTCCTCAAGGGAGGGCAATTCCAGGCGAGTCTGAAACCCAAGGGCTCCCTAGGCATGCCCAAGGTTCAGGGTTCAGGGTTCAGGGTTTAGGGTTTAGGGTTTAGGGTTTAGGGTTTAGGGTTTGGGGTTGAGGGTTTAGGGTTTAGGGTACCTACCCCCCATGAACAGGTTGATGTTATGAAACTCGGGTTCAAAAAGAAACAAAGAGCTACGATCGCTCTATGCATTCAGAACCATGCCTGTGTTCTTCTGGATCTGAGACATTTAAACCCTAAACCCTAAACCCTAAACCCTAAACCCTAAACCCTAAACCCTAAACCTAAACCCTACTTAAACCAAAAACATACGGGCATGCAAATGGAGCAAGGACTTGAGGCTAAACTGGCAGTACCCCATGTACCCTTATGATGAGGAAGTGCGCCTTGCGGTCGAGAGTCACTGGATACAGCAGACAAGGTCAAACGCCTACTCTAGCGCGTCATGTTCTAGTATCAGTACTCCTAGGCTGCCCAGTAACCTAGGCTAAAAAAGGGTGTCCTTTTTTGCTTAAAAGGGGTTAAAAAGGGAACCTAAATCCCCCAAAAAGGGAATTAGGGTACTACTGGGCATCTTAGACTCTTTGTTTGTAGGCTTGTTCCCGCGCCGCCCTCGGAAGCAGGAGCTAGGTGGGGTTTGTGCCGCCCTCACAAGTAGCGGACGGCTAAGATTGTGGTTGTATCGAGGCGCGACCTTGCTCAACACGGCACAGCTATATGGCCTAGCAGAAGTGTTGGGCCGTGGCGGCCGTGTGCATGAATTCTGCCATCAAAATCACCCGCCCCCGAGGTGCGATAAGAAGTCTTGCAAATTTAAGGATTAGAGTCTGGAACTCCAGAGCCCTAAACCCTAAACCCTAAACCCTAAACCCTAAACCCTAAACCCTAAACCCGGGTGCCCCAAAACCACCTTCAAACCTCCGAGTGGGAGACCGAACTCTAAGAGCTTGAAGGGTTGGGGGCGTACGGTGCCCCTAAACCCTAAACCCTAAACCCTAAACCCTAAACCCTAAACCCTAAACCCTAATACCCCCGAACTTCCCCCCGGAATTACCGTAGATCTCTGCCGTCAGCCACACCTGGAGCCGCCATGTTGGATGCAAGCGTGGTCGTCAAGTCCTGCTCCCAAAGTCCAGGAAGCCCCAAGAGGAGAATTCAGGGTTTAGGGTTTAGGGTTTAGGGTTTAGGGCTTAGGGTTTAGGGGTCAGAAGGGTTTGAGAGGTTATAAGTTGGGACGTTCCCCCTTGTACTAGCAGTCCGTAGTAGGGATTAATCCCGATTAAGGACTGTCAGTTTCAGGGGGAACATCCCAAGTTTTGAGGGTCTTTAGTTTCTGAGGGTGATAAGAAGTTATAACGCTAAGACTGCAGGTGCTTTGAGCTTGGTGGGTCCTGGGGGCGCAAAGGCCTAGCTAGGCAGGGCTTATACGGCTTAGGGTCACACCGAGTCACACCCCCCGCCCCCCCCACCCCCCCTACCCCACCCCCCCCTCAAAGGCCTGTCACAGAACCACTTGCTAAGGATATCTTTGGCACTCAAGACCCCAGAGTGTTGTGTACATGGTCCCGTAGTATGGGCCCTTAAAAGGGTACCCCTTATATACCCCTTGTATACCCCTTAAGGGCCCATACATCAGAACCCTTTAAAGGGAGGTTAGGGACCACATTGAGGGCCCGTGACTAACTACCCTCAGATTGTGCACAGAATATCTCCCTAGAACTTAGCTGTCAAGGTTCGAGGCTTATGCGAGTAGGGTCAGGGTTTGGAGTTTAGGTTTTGGTTTAGGGTTTAGGCTTTGCAGGTTTAGACTCCTTTCTCCAATCAGGGAGTCAGAGTTCAAGATTGTTTAGGGTTGAGGGTTAGGGTTTAGGGTTTAGGGTTTAGGGTTTAGGGTTTAGGGTATAGGGCTTAGGGTTTAGGGTTACATTTAAACCCTTATAAACCCTAAACCCTAAATCTCTAAAGCCCCAAACCCTCAACCTTACAACCTGCAGAAGCAACCCCACGGCTCTGAACAAGAGGCCTAGGTTTCAAGGCGAATGTAAGGTGCGAGTGGCATTGTCAGGGGCACTGTCTGCCATTCTGAAGCAATCTCCTACACCCTGGCCCCTAACCCCTGCAGCCTCCCCCCCCCCCCCCCTTTTTAGGGTCTAGGGTTTAGGGGTTTAGGGTTTAGGGTTTAGGTTTTAGGGTTTAGGGTTCCCGCCGAAACGGCAGTCAAAAACAACACCCTAAGGGTCCATGTACCTAAAAAGGGAATACTTGGGCGATTCCCTTGTAATCAGGACCTGATTGGACCCCGACTTTCGGAACCCCCCCACCCTAAACCCTAAACCCTAAACCCTAAACCCTAAACCCTAAACCCTAAACCCATGTGGTACATGAAGCCCTTGGGGAACAAATCTCCTTGTCACAGGGGATCATGATGGCAAGGATCACGGCGCCCATGACCTGAGCTCTCCAAGGATTGGCTTTAGGACTTAGGGTTTAGGGCTTAGGGTTTAGGGTTTAGGGTTTTGGGTTCCAAACCAAAAAACTCTAGACCTAAACTCTCAAGCCCGTGTAACCGAAAATATTCAGCAGTTAGACAAAGAAATTTTCCTCGACACTTGCCTCCAACTCCCGGAAACTCCTCTAAATTTTCCCCGGACCACCCTAAACCCTATCAACCCTACAGCCTAAACGCTGAACCCTTAAACACTTCAATAAAACCTGCCCACTTTCGAGAAGCAAAGCTGCAGCACCAAAGCACTGCGCGACGAAGTTGAGAGCTCCCTGTGAGTGGGTTTCAGCTTCGGAGGTGTAGTGTTTAGGGTATAGCGCTTGGCGTTGTTACGGCGTGCCTAAAGCCCTAAAATACCCTAAAACACTAAATGCCTTAAATTTCCCAAATGCCCCAAATACCCATAAATACCCCCCAATACCCTCAAGCCCCAAAACACCGAAACCCCAAACCCCATCAGTCGCCTGCAACGCCTAAATGCCCTAATTACCCAAAGTACCCGTTATATAAAACCCCTCAAACCCTTAAACCACTTAAACCCCTAAACCCTAAACCCCTAAACCCCAAACCCCTAAACCCTAAACCCCGAACCTTCACCTGACTTTCGGATTTTACACGCCGTCCGGACCCTCGACTCGGCGGCTTGAAACGGCCTGACCTGGAGGAGTCTGTATAGCGATTCCGACGACTAGGGCTTAGGATTTAGGGTTTAGGAAGTCTCCCTCATGTCGGAAATACATCCTGCAGCCGGGTGTGATTCTTCGTGTGCGCGAGGGCGGGCAGGCCTATGCCGACCTAGCTCAGCCCTCTCGAGCCTCTTTGGTAAGACGATGCAGCTGTGCCTCTAAGGGGAGGTACTTGAGGGGCCAGAGATACGGAATCAAGGGCGCCCACCAGGAGGCGGGCAATGTCTGGATGGTGCCGCCGGGCGGATTTCAGCAGCGATCGAACCACGTCCAAGTGGCGGGTTCCGAGCTTGTCCTCGTGGGCCTGCAAGAGCAGACGGACCACCTCCATGTGACCTTCGTTTGCCGCGTGTTCGAGGGGAGAGTCGCCGAAACCGCCACTGTCGGCGCTGGCCCTGGCATCGAGCAAAAGGCGGACGACTCGCGCGTGCCCCCGAATGGCTGCTGCCCGAAGGGCCGTGTGGCAACAGGCATCCTCCTGGTTCACATCAGCACCCGCCCCAAGCAAAAGGCGGACAATCTCCATGTGCCCATGCCAACACGCCTCGTAAAGTGCCGCCCTCTTGCGTGAGCCACTTAAGGCCCGATGGTCTGCACCAGCATCCAGAAGCAAGCGCACGATGCCCATGTGGCCCTCTGTGGATGCTGCGCAGAGGGGCGTCAGCTGCTCTCCATCACCCTCGGCAGAGCCGCGGAGGTCGGGATCTGCGCCGGCCTCCAACAGCAAGCCGGCAACGTCGGTGTGCCCTAAGTCTGAAGCCACGACTAGGGCCGTCTGCCCGGTGTGGTTCATCCAATTGGGATCCTGAGGTCGCCGGAGAACGACTTCGACCGTGGACACCAGGTTGCTTTCCGCAGCGGCGATGAGCTCTTGTGCACTGGCAAACACGACTTCAGAGGGAAAGGACAGAAGGACCAGCTGCAGGTCACCAGGCGCATCTAGTCGGAGGTCGTCCTCCAAGCTTTTCCCGTCGCAGAGGAGCATCTGCCTGAAGCGTGGTATGCCGCAGAGCCTCTGCAAGCGGATCTTCAACGCCCGCACATCATAGAGCTCATCCAAGCCCACGGCTGCTAGCTCTCTCCCAGAGGCTTGCCAAACATGCAGCAT